CTGCACAAGGGGCATAAGGGGTCAGGTTCGATCTTTCTCTTGTATAGATTTTCTCTAGTTGGTAAGGCATTTTGGCATGCACTCCATAGGAATATCTGAATCTTGGGGGGAGTGTTTAACTTCCATAGAGTATTCCAGAAAGATCTTGGTACTTGGAATGAGGTGGAGGGTAACGCTAATTGTTGTTGTAGGCTTACTGAACGTAGTTTGTCGTAAGCACTTTTAACTGTGTGTTTTCCGGTTTTGTTCCCTATCCAGATCATCCTGTCCTCCTCGGTGTTGCTATTGAGGAGAACAGCTAAGATTTCGCTAACAACATCCTCTTCAAATAAAGACCTCAATTTTTGTTCATTCCATGTTCTATTTTCCTGGTTGATCAGTTCGTCCACTTTATGGGGTTCGCCATGGTTCACTGATCCGGTCGTTAAAGTTGGTAGCTAACTACTTTGTCATGTTCTTGTCTTTCTTCCGAAAACTTTGTTTTGGACCAAGAGTTTCACACACGATGCGACCTCCGTCGTTTGCTGAAATTTGTACATGTGGGTGTGGGTAGAGCCTGGAAATCTCATTCGCAATCTAAGTCCACTTGATTCATGATTGACTGACTTTAGGTATTCTTTATTTCTACATTAACTTGACGTTGCAACCTTCTCTTGTATTACAAGGAAAGGACTCGTACGATGGCTAAAGGTACAACACAGATTTCAGGTTATTTCTTTTACTGTCAGGATACAATCAAATCAAGGGTTGAGCATTGAGCACTCGTCCTGGATTGGATTGGCAGGTTCCGGGTGGTTTCCGCGAGAACCGGTTTAGGAATAATTGATCCGGTTTGCGATTCTCGGTGTAGAATCGAACCGAAGAACTGGGATTGAACTAAAATAACATTCATATTGCTTATGCTTTGCTTGATGCGTCTCTTTTCTCACTCTTGCCGGTCTCCCTCTGTCAATTTCTTCTCTCAGCTCAGTTTTCTCTCTCCCTCACTCTCTCAGATTTTTAGTTGAGCTCTCTACATTCTTCCTTCATTATTTAAATCTAGAATCGACAAGGGTGCTTCGAAACTCAGATCTAGAACCGGCGACGTCTGAGGGACGAGTATTTCCTCCTCAAAGCTTTTGATGACGAAATCGATCGAATCACCATATCTCGATTTGTGATGCCCTCAGAATCGTCGAGCATGTTGAGCAAGCCGTTCGGGATTTGCTTCACCTCTGGCGAGCTAAGATCCGAGTTGGCTGAGTTGAGATTCAACTTAGAGCCTTTGCTATGATCTTCTTCAACGAGCGCTTTAAGCACTTGTGCATTTTCTTCGCAACACTATGTAATGTTTGTTGGAGTTGGCGAATACTTCGGGGACCCTTGTTTCTCACACCGGGTACGCCAACGTGAGTTTAGGGAAACTGAAGTGTTGTCCGACGACATGTGACCCATGCGTGCGGAATGCGGGGGTTCGGGGCGCGCGCCCGACACGGTGCCCCATTGCCGTCGTAGGCGGGTTCGGGCGGCGCCCCGTCTCTTGCGGGATGTAGCCCCGATAGGGTGAACCCGGATAAATTCGTGCATCGTCTATTTTCTCTACATTTTCGCGTGATCGTTACGTTTCGGTTCTCGATCGTCCCTTCAATTGGTATCGAGGCGGAGTTGTTCGAGGAATTAGGGTTTATTCGAGATGTCGGGAGGATCACGAATTGAGATAGAAAAATTCGACGGACGCGGTTGATTGTCTGTGGAAGATGAAGATGGAGGATCTTCTCTGTGATCGAGATCTTTGGTCGACAATCGAAACGGAAAGGCCTATTGCTGCGCAACCTGGTGTCGTGATAGGCAAGGAAGCGGTGAAGGAAACGGATTCAACTTCCAAACCGGCAGATCCAAAGGAGATTGAAGACTGGAATCGGATTGATCGGAGAGCAAAGGGTTTGATTCGGCTTTGTCTTGCGGACTCGATTCGACAAACGTGATGGGGAACCTACGGCCCGGGGACCTATGGCGAAACCTGAGTCGCCGTATCAAAGTAAGTCGTTGGTTAATAAGCTGTTTTTGAGGAAAAAGCTGTATAATCTTCGGATGCATGAGGGCGACTCGTTTTCTGCACATCTGTATAACTTTAACACATTGATTAGTCAACTCGTATCAATCGGTGTTAAGTTCCAGGATGATGATAAGGCAATAACACTGCTCTGTTCACTGCCGGATTCATGGGATAACCTGATTGTGGTGATCGGTGGTGGGGATAAGGAATTATCGTATGAAAGTGTGTGTTCTGCTTTGTTATGGGAGGAGACACGAAGAAAGGGATCGGGAAATTCCGGTAAAGAGGCATTGGCGGCTAGGGGAAGGCCAGCAGAGAAGACTCTGAATCCGAGAGGATCCAGATCCAAATCTCGTGGGCGATCGAAGAGTAGGGAGAGGAGGGTACAGTGCTGGAAATGTCAAGAGTGGGGCCATGTGAAGCGGGACTGTAAAAACAAGCCAGTTTTTAAGAAAGAAGCTGAATCATCCTCGGGTAAAAAGGTGGTCGATGCGGGAGATATGTATTTGGCTGCTGCGTGTATGGTGCAGTCAGACAAGGATATATGGTTGATCGATACCGGTGCTTCATACCACATGACGCCTCATAGACACCGGTTTTGTGAATATGAGCAATATAATGGTGGGGATGTCATGCTCGGAGATGATCTTGAGTTCAAATTATCGGGCGTGGCGGGGTGAAGGCGAGGATGAGTAATGGCACGGTGAAGACTATTCCGGACGTGATGCACATACCCTTGATGAGTAGAAATTTGTTATCAGTCGGTACGATGGCCGATTCGGGGGTTATTTTTAGCTGTGATAAGGATTCGTGCAAGATGACTCGAGGTTCTATTGTGATTGCACGAGGAGTCTATTACGGGACATTATACAAGCTGCTCGGGAAACTTGATGGTTGGTAGCGGGTTCGTTTCGAAGAGGCCAAGGAAGATGGACATGATACGTCCATGTTGTGGCATCGAGGTTAGGGCATATCGGTGAAAAGGACTGTCTACCTTAGCTTCAAGTCGGATGGTAGAAGGAATTCCAAAATGCTCTATGGGTTTCGGGTTACGTGAACACTTGTCTCCATGGAAAACGAATCGAGTTAGCTTCCAACACACTTGGTACAAGAGCAACGAGGTTCTTGAGGCGATTCACAGCGATGTCTTTGGACCTACTCCGACTCCATCTATTGGAGGATCCAGGTACTATGTATCATTCATAGATGATTTTTCGAGATATAGTTGGATTTATTTTATTAAAAGTAAATCAGATGTATTCGAGAAATTTCGAGAATTTAAGGTTTTGGTTGAAAACCAATTGGGCGAGAAAATCAAGGTCCTTCGTACGGATAACGGAGGTGAATTCACATTTGGATAAGTTCGAGCAATTTTGTGTGGATAATGGTATTGCAAGGCAGAAGACGACTCCATATACGCCTCAACAGAATGGGGTAGCCGAAAGATTAAATCGGTCACTCATAGAAAAGGCAAGATGCATGCTGAGTTGGGCAAGTTTAGGGCCAGAATTTTGGGCAGAAGCTGTAGCCATAGCCAGTTATTTGAAGAACCGGTCACCGACCTCATCAGTGAAGGATCGTACACCATATGAGCAGTGTTTGGGAAGAAGCCGAATCTGTCGCATGTTCGGGTGTTCGGGTGTGACGCATATGTTCATGTACCCAAGGAGAAACGGGGTAAGCTTGACAACAAGTCTGAGAAGAACATATTTGTCGGATACAAGGAAGGGGTCAAAGGCTATAAGGCATGGAATCCGAATCAAAGACCATTGTATACGGCGGGGATGTTGTCTTTCGTGAATCACAACCCCAGGTTGGCACACGAAAGGTGATGAGCCCAAGAAAGTGGTAGTGCTTGAAGAAAGTCCTAAAGCGAAACCGTGGAGATAGTTCCACAAGGCACGCTAGTAGAGTCGATTCGAATCGGAGCAAGGGGACTCGGTTAATGAAGTCGAGGATGCGGTCGGATGAAGACACTGGATACGAATAGCATGCTAGGCTCTCGGGAGATCGGCAGAAGAAAGGTACCACTTCGATACTCACTTAGTGCTTTAAGTACGTTTCATGCTTTGAGCATTACCGGAGATGATCCTAGTTACGTAAAAGAGGCGAGATCTATGGATGATGCGAATCGGTGGGAGCTCGCAATGATAGATGAGATGCGATCGCTTGATAAAAATGAAACATGGAGCTTGTGTAAATTGCCTAAGGATAGAAAGGCAATTGGGTGTAAATGGGTGTTCAAGCGAAAGCTGAAACGGATGGGACTGTAGAGAAGTACAAGGCTAGGCTTGTAGCCAAGGGGTACTCTCGGATTGAGGGAGTTGACTATGACGAGATTTTCTCTCCCGTGGCGAGTTGACCTCGATACGGTTTGTTCGTACATCTATAGCAGTGCATATGATCTTGAGGTAGAACAGATGGATGTAAAGACGGCATTCCTTCATGGAAACTTGGAGGAGGAGATATATAGAGGCAACCGAAGGCTTTGAAGTAAGAGGAAAGGAGAATTTGGCGTGCAAATTGAAAAAGTCTTTATATGGGCTGAAGCAGTCACCGAGGATGTGGTACCGAGAAGTTTGACATGTACATGCTCCGACTTAATTTTGTGCGTTCAAATTCGACCATTGCGTTTATGTGAAGAGAACGGGCGATCGGTTTGTCATTCTCACGCTATATGTGGATGATATGTTGTTGATCGGGAATAATGTGAAGATGGTGAATTACGTGAAGAGTTTGCTGGCCAAAAAGTTCGAAATGAAAGACTTGGGGCACAAATTTTATTTTGGGCATGCGGATTAGGAGGGACCGTGAGAAACGGAAGGCGTGGCTAGGGCGGGAGAAATACATAAAAGAAATATTGAAGAAATTCAATATGATAGGCTAAAGCTTGTTGGTACCCCTATACCTTTAGGGACCAAGCTATACGGAACAATGTCCAAAAACGGATGAAGAAGCTAAAGAGATGGCCCGAATTCCATACGCGAGTGCGGTGGGTAGCTTGATGTATGCTATGGTGTGCACGCGTCCGGATATAGCCCAAGCAGTGGGAGTCTTGAGTCGATACATGTCTAACCCGGGTAGAGAACACTGGAATGCGATCAAAAGAGTTTTCAAGTATCTTCGTGGAACTTTGAATTTTTCTTTATGTTTTAAAGGTACAGGGAATGGAAACATGTTTGATATCGTAGGCCATGTAGATGCTGATTGGGGTGGAGATATTGATAGTAGACGGTCCACTAGCGGATATGTTTTCACATTGTTTGGTGCTGCATTGAGTTGGATGAGCAGGAGGCAAAGCGTGGTAGCGCTTTCTTCTACTGAGGCTGAGTATATGGCTCTTACTCATGCTGGAAAAGAGGCCGTATGGTTACGGCGATTGTGCTTGGAGCTCGGTTTTGAGCAAGGTGCCATAGAGGTGAGATGTGATAATCAATGGGCTATTTATTTAGCTAAGAATCCAGCATTTCACTCACGCACAAAGCACATTGATATACAATATCATTTCATCCGAGAAAAAGTAGAGAAGAAAGAGGTTCGGCTTGTAAAGGTCGACACGGTAGAAAATAGTTCTGACTTCCTTACTAAAGCCGTCACAGGTGCGAAGTTTGAATGGTGCTCTCTGCGATTGGATTGAAGAAGAATGATATTGGAAAGGCCCTCATTTGCACGAAGTATCCACCAAGTGGGAGAATGTTGGAGTTGGCGAATACTTGGGGACCCTTGTTTCTCACAGGATGCGCCACGTGAGCTTAGGAAGCGAAGTGTTGTCCGACGACATGTGACCCATGCGTGCGGAATGAGGGGTTCGGGCGCGCGCCCGACACGGTGTCTCATTGCCGGTCGGCGGGCGGGGAGTTCGGGCGCGCGAAACCTCAACGGGTTTGGGCTGGCCCGTATAGTGCGAGATTAAGAGATTTTATATAGGTTTAGGTTTTGGGCCCGTTTGGAGCATATATATATTTTGCTCGTTTTTCTTATCATTGTAACGAGTTGAGTGGCTGTAAACCGAAAACATAGTGAAATCTCTTTGCGGCACGTACCACGATAGGGTGAACACAGGTAAATTCGTGCATCGTCTATTTTCTCTGTTTTCTGCGTGATCGTTCTGTTTCGGTTCTCGATACGTCCCTTCAATGTTGTGTATTGTAAAATGGTGTTCCAATGTCTGAAATGCTTCATAAGATTGGCTTCCAGTGCCTCTCACCCATCACCCCTCTCAGGCCAATTATGCATGGCCTGGTTCTTGGGCCGATTTTGGTCCGGTCTAGTTTTAGAACCGTCCGATCCGATTCCCAATTTTAGGCAGAGAACCAATCCACGATGGAACCAATCGTCCCTAATCAGATCACATTATGAAGTTACACTTCTGGTCCCTGTAATTTTGGAGGTTCTACTTTTGGTCTTCATATATTGTTTGGGTACAACTTACACTATTCTCTAACGACAATATAAGTCTTTTGGTCAAAATTTTCGATCAAATTTTGACTGAAATTGCTGAGTTGGCATTGGCTATTGACACGGGTGCCTATGTATAGAAAATTTTAAAATAGAATTACACTTTTGGTCCATTACTTTTAGGGACAACCCATTTTGGTCAATATGCTTTATTTTAGTGACAAAACTAGTCTCTGTATTATTTTTTTTGGAAAACTTAGTAAAGTCCATCACATTTCGATCTGAAATCTTTTGAAAGTATCAAATTCAGACCAACTATTAATAGGCAATTCGTATGTTTGTAAGTATGCCCAAATTGATCGATGGTCCCAATAAGATCAATTCCATTGCATTCAGCAATGGTTTCCTCATTTTCAGTTTAGATACATATAGACGTATCTCCAATTACTTTTAGAGAAACGTAAATAAGTGAGGGGAGAGAGAATAGAGTGAATTTCGAAATATCCGAAATGTGAGAGGCCCATTTATACGCGTGGCGGTCAATGAATGCAGGGAAACTTGGCTGGCGTGGAGAGGTTTGGACTACGTACACATGTAGGGCTCACATGGCAGATGTTGCTGGCTCAGCAATTTCCAGCATATTTTGAACATAAATCCGACGGCAAGACTTGAATTTCGGCCGGACAATAGTATTGGAGAGAGAGACTAGAATTACGGGCTCGGAATTGGGCCGACCTAAGACCAGCCGGCGGCGGTTTGGCGTCCGGGCTTGCCAGGATTTTCGAACTCTATCTTACCCGTCGTCCGAAAGTTCGTTCGGCCGAACGCCCTGGCGGGTATCGTGCGGTTTGCATCAAAGTAAAAGGAAAAAAGGTAAACAAAGCTTGAAACGCAGTCAAAAGAGAGGGGTTAATTTAGCACGTAGGGAGCGGGTATCTGGCAAGAACAGAGAACGGGGCAGGCGGTGGAGCGCATCCTCCTGCAACCGGTGGCGTCTCTCTCCTCCTCCGCACCGTCCACCTCGATTCAGCCCAACTCATACACCCAAACGTCAAAACCTTCTTTTTTGGTTCCTTCAAACAGATTAACCAACCATCCCCATCTCTACATTATTGCTCCCAAAGCCCTCCCCTTTTACCTTCACAACCCACCACCCGTTCGACGAAATTCCCCACTGAACGAGGAGAAAAGGGAAATAACACAAACACCATGAAGCTGTGCTCGCTCTCCCTCTCCCTCTTGCCCCTGGCTCTCTGCCTCGCCCTCCTCGGCCACCGCGGCGTCGCCGCTCACGCCTCCGCCGCTCATGCCGCCGCCACCGCTGCCAATGCCTCCGCCACCGCCACCGCCACCGCCGGCCTCGTGGCTAAGGTCTGCGGGAAGTCGAACCACAGGGACCTGTGCCTATCGAGCCTCCAGTCCGTCCCGGATGTCGGCTCAGCCACCGACGTCGGCATCCTCGCCATCGCCGCGCTCCGCGTCGCGGCCACCAATGCCAGCGACACGGCCGCGCTCATCCAGGGCCTGCTCAATGACACGACCCTCTCGCCCGCCGTCCAGCAGGGGCTCAGCGACTGCGCCGACCACTACGTGGACGCGGTCGAGCAGCTCGACGACTCGGTCGCCGCGCTGACCGTGAAGGCATACAGCGACGTGCGCACGTGGGTGAAGACGGCCATAGCTGATGCCGACACTTGCGAGGCGGGGTTCCAGCAGCTGGCGACTGGGCCGAACATCTTGTCCCATAGGAACCTGATTTTCCGGCAGTTGTGTAACAATGCCCTGGGCATCGTCAAACTCCTGAAGGCTTGAATGGAGGTAGCAATGAGCCTCTCCTTTTATTCTTTAAATTTGTAACGACGTCTCATATATAGAGTCGGCTCTTGTTGTGACTCATGATTGAGATTGCGGAGCTCAGTCTGCATGTGATTCACGTTCTTGAGTTTCATGTAATGGGAAGATCGAAATCCGTCGTGATTTGTGAACAACGGTAGCTTTTCCATCTTATCAACGACATGCGGGATCATTGGGTCTTACCCCATAAGATTAGAGTATGTCGGAGCTTGTGCAAGCGGTGACAATATGCTTAAGAAGAAAAGTTTCCTAAAACACTTTGTTCTATTACTCAGCACTCGGCAGATGTAACATAAATCTCTCCCGATCTCTAGTTGGAAATCGGTTCCTAAAACAAAAACAAAAGAATAATGGCTATTAAAACGAGCTAACCCTTTTGACCAAAAAAAAAAAAAACGAGGTAACCCTAACTCAACTTGGAAAGATCCTCCCTCAAACCCAACAATGTGAGTTATTCCCTCTAAGGCAATTGCTTGTCCAGGAGCAACCTAAGAAAAAATTAGGTATAAAAGTCTTCTTCATCCGCGATGTCGGTCCATTCATCCAAGAAAGAAGTTTGATCTGCCGAAATCCGGTGCCTCGTCCGCGCTAATCACATGGTATCCAGGCCAAGTAACTCGGTTCGTGGTATCGGAACCGGGTCCGGTATTATTGTGTTCTGCATAGTAAAGTGTGCTCAGCGCAAAATCAGTCCCATTCCAATCGTGCCAACCCGCAGGGTGAATCAGACTATCCATGAACGTATGCATGTAAACCGTCCTCGAGTAGTCCTTCCACGGCCGCCCTAGATACGTCTCCACCGAGTAATTGCTCGACGCCAGGTCATCAGCAGCTCTGATGGTACAATTACGGAAGTAGATGCCTGTGTCCGTGCCCTCATTGGTCCTCCCTTGGGCAGTTATGGCATTGTACTGACCTTTTATGGGGCGGCGGGGGTACACGTTGCAGTTCTCAAAGACCACGTTTGCATCTCCGAAGATAAAGTCAACCGTGCCGTAAATGTCGCACTCCCTGTAAAATTGCTTGAAGCTGTGTGTAAAGAGGGTGTCTTGGTACCCCTCAAAGCTGCATCGATAGAACATGGACCGGTCGGCACTGTTTCGGACGGCCACGGCTTGTCCCTTCTCCGGCCCTGCTGTGTTCCGGAAGGTCAAGTCCATTGCAATAAAATGGGGTGCCTCCACGGCTGTCACAAAACAGTGCAAGATTCTGAATAAAATCTCTGTTCCGTTACCATAATAGAAACATTATTGCAAACAAATGGAAAAGGAAGACACGTTATTCATATATTTGAGAGCTTTCTTACTAAATGTTGGACTGCTAAGAATACTCCATCCATCACGGTTGTTGCGATCTCCGGTGATCACAGTTTGATTGATGCCGTCTCCGACCATCATGAGGTTCTTCTTGTTCGAGTTGACATAAACATACTCCTGATAGATGCCTGCAGCTATGTAGATCAAGAAGTAGCCATTGGACCCGTCACCGTTATTAGGAGCTGCCGCGACGGCCTCGTTTATGCTGGTGAAGTTCCCGCTTCCGTCCTTATTCACCACCACCATGTCGCGGATCAACACTCTGTTATGTTGACCCGCAGCGCAAATATTCATCTTGCTTAGAGACCCATGAAAAGCACGAGCTAGGCTTGACATGTTCAGTGAGACCTGGCTGAGTCTAAGGGGTGTTAGTGTGCTCTCGGAGTACCGCATGGCTGCTTCGCCCTTCCTCGAGGACCAACCTTTGTTGAACAGCGCCAAGGAAGCGCTGTGCAACTTGGTGTCCTCTGAAAGGCGAACGGGCAGACCGCCCTTGATCCTCGAGCCGGCCGCGGCCCACTGGAGACTGTCCGAGCAGGTCGCCTGATTGGTCAGAACGGCGCTAAGCATGCTCCGGACATCATCCGCCTCTTGGTCCGGGAGCTCCCCGGCCTTGTCATCGACCGCTTTCGAAGATTTGAGCAGGAACTCCACGTTCAGCGCCGCGACGTGGCGGCAATCCTCGAGGGCTTGGGCCTTGGGAGCCGTCAGGCGTGCCCACACTCTCGAGAGATGCTCGTCAACCAGGGAGAGAAACCTGCATGCTCGGGAGAGGGATTTCCGCACAAAGTAGCGGCCGAAGTGGCGGAAGTCGCCGGCGGCATTAGGGCCATGCAGCGCGGATAAGCAGAAGGCAGGGTCGGGAGTGGAGCTGCACGCGGTTTCCGCCGAGACGAGGCTCACATTCCTTGCATGGATATCGTCATCTTCTAGGGCAAGAGAGTTAGAGCATGCAAAAAGCAAAGGAAGAAGAAGCAGAAGAAGAGCAAGGAAGAAGTGTGGCTTCGACATGTTGGAAGAGAGGGTGATGGAGAACGAGGCAGCCAAGAAAGGTTTTTGAGGAAGACAGAGACAAGGAGTGTTGTAGTAAAGATACAAACTCCAATGCCTTAATACTACTGCTCCACGTAATAATCCATAACCCTGTGTAATTATCATTGATGTGTTTTGTGTACTCAAATTGTTCTAATCCTCATCCTTTCCGATCCATGTACTTATCAGCTGGATCCTAACAAGTTCAAACTTTTGGAACTCTACTCGTAGATTCCTGATACGTTAAAACACTCGAGCGGTAGATATCCGTTAATTTTAATTTTCATAAAATTAATTTAAGATCGTTTTCTTATTCAATCCTAATGATAACAGAGACAAGGAGCCTGAGAAATTGTAGTCAAATACAAAATCCAATTCCTTAGCGCTACTAGTAAATTGTAGTGAAATACAAAATCGAATTCCTCATTATCACCACCGCTCCATGTAATAATCCTTGACCGAGTTCAATTATCATTAGTCTGTTTTATGTATCCAAATTGCACCAATCCTTCCAGAATTTTGAGGATGCATTGAATTATCAACTGAATCCTAACAGGTTTGGAACTTTTGGGACTCTAATCGTAGATTCTTGAGATGTTAGAACAGTCGAGTATTAGGTATTCATCTATTTTAATATCATAAAAAAATTATTGAGATCCACATCTTACCCAATCGTGGTGATGACAGAGACAAGTAGTCTTAGAAATTGTAGTAACATACAAACTCCAATGGTACGGCTACGGTTACATGTAATGATCCTTAACCAAGTAAAATTATCATTAATTTGTTTTGTGTATCCAAATTGTCTTGATCCTTTCTAGGATCCACGTACTTATCAGCTGAATCCTAGCAAAGTTTGGAAGTTCTGGGATTTTGATTGTAGATTCCTAGTGTCAGGTATCCTTTTATTTTGGTACCATAAAATTCGTTACAGATCAAGTTCTGATTCTATTCCGGTGATGACACGGACAAGGAGTCTAGGAAATTGTAGTAAGATACAAACTCGAATTTGTTAGTACCACTGCTGCATGTGATAATCCTTAACAGAGTGAAATTGTCATTATTATGTGTTTAAATTAAACCAATTATTGAGTGGGTGGATGAACCACGCAATACTTTTGAGATATGTCTAAATTTACCCCTCACTAAATCTTAGTATTAGAGAATCCAATAGCTAACATTTTTGTGAATGTGCAATGATTGAAGTAGACCCGTTCTACTGAATCAAGTTAATAATATTATATCAGTCGTTTTAGGCCGGATAAACAAGTACTCGTTTATTTCGTGAAAAATATTATGTTTTTGAAAAATATTTTCCGGAAGTCATTTTATAAAATATATTTTTTTTCCGGTGTTTAAAGGCTTTACATCAATAGGCGGCTCATCTTTTCGACAAAACTCATTTAAGGGCTTTTTCTTAAGGGTTAATACCACGAAAAACCCTAAACTGGTACACTTGTGACACATTTACCCCAAACTATTTTTTTGACCATAAAAAACCCCAAACTGGTACACCTGTGACAATTTTACCCCGAACTATTTTTTTGACCATAAAAAACCCCAAACTGGTACATCTGTGACAATTTTACCCTGAACTTACCATAAAAAACCCCAAACTGGTACATATGTGACAATTTTACCCTGAATTAAAATTTTAATATTATTTTTTATTTTTTTCGAATATTTATTTATTTTTTTTTATTTTTTTCCTTTATTTTTTTTTTCTTTATCTTCAAGCTCTGGCCGGTCGCCGGTCCGGCGACCGGCCAGAGGCGGAAGCCGGCGAGGGCCGTCCTCGCCGGCGTCGAAGAGAGAACCGCCCTCGCCGCGTCGGGCGAGGCCGCCACCACGCCGGCGTCAGCCGAGCGAGCCGCCCTCGCCGCGTCAGCGCGCCGCCCTCGCCGGCGTCGGGCGAGGGCCGCCCTCGCCGCGTCGGGCGAGGGCCGCCCTCGCCCGCCCGGGGCTAAGGGCGATCCTCGCCGGTATCGGGGCGAGGCGCCCTCGCCGGATCCGCGAGCGACCCTAGCTGCGTTGGCGAGGTTGCCCTCGCCGCGTCGGCGAGCGGCATCCTCGCCGGCGTCGGGCGAGGGCGACCTCGCCCGAGCTTAGGCGGGCGACCCTCGCTGCGTCGGGTGAGGGCTGCCACTACTGCAGCCGAGCTTGCCTCGCCGGACTTCGGGCGAGCGGCCCGCTGGGCGGGTGAGGACGGCCCTCGCTCGAGGTCGGGCGAGGGCCGCCCTCGCTAGATCCGGGGAGGGTCGCCCTTGCTTGGGTCGAACGAGGCGGCCCTCGCCGGCCTTCCTTCCTACGGCCGGTCAGCCGGACCGGCGACCGGCCAGAGGTTGAAGTGAAGAAAAAAAAAACAAAAGAAAAGAAAAGAAAAGAAAAAAGAAAAAATTCAAAAAAATTCAAAAAATAAAAAAAAATAATATTAAAAATTAGTTGGGGTAAAATTGTCACATGTGTACCTTGGGGTTTTTGTGGTATGTTCGAGGTAAAATTGTCACAATGTACCGGTTTGGGGTTTTTATGGTCAAAAAATAGTTTGGGGTAAATGTGTCACAAGTGTACCAGTTTAGGGTTTTCCGTGGTATTAACCCTTTTCTTAATAATTTTGTCTCCGACCAAAAAAAAATAATAATTTTGTCTTGACATAAGCAAAATTACTAAAATATCGTACTAGGTATCACATCAGCCTGTCGGGGTCAAAGGTTTTTTTTTTCTTTTCCTCCTGCTTTATTCAGAATAGGCGAGTTACATGGTCAAACAACAAAAGGCACGTATTATCATTTTTCTGAAAAATAATTTTTTGAAATTTTTTTTCAAAAATATCAAACTTTTCGTGAAACAAATACAGTCTTTATAATTTCGTGTCTTTATGTTTTCCAATTGCATTTAAACCGAAGCAATCTTGCAAGTGAATTAACATTTAAGTATGTGATTACTAGTTGAAGGAACACCGTTGAACAATATTGAGTTAAAAATTTGAAAATAATTAGATGCTCCAAGTCTCACTTGTTGAGAATTTCATTATTATTTCCAAAGAAAGATACATTGACAATGGTCATCAATCAATCAGTGGTTAATTTGCACACACAGTTCATGTAATGCATATATCTTAACACGGTCGCCAAATTTTTTTTTTTTTGAGATCTTGAAGTAGATTTCATTTGATTTTCTGAATCAACATGAGTTAGTTAACGGAAAAGTTGTCCGAGCCTTTGTGTGTTTAGATGAATTCCATGTAAAATTTAGTGTTGCATAGAAGATTGATCCTTTGCTGGAACAACCATATAGGACGTGGGCTACATATGAATTATTTGCATAACTTAAGATTTTCTTTAGCGAAAATGAGAGATAATTTCGGTGACATACCTTTAATTAGCAGATGATATTGACATCACGAAAGAATATTGAGTGGCATCTCGCTATAAACATAACCTCAACTTCAACAAGTAAATAATGAGGTGTCCGAAATTCTTTTGGTCCTCGACTAATATCTCAAATTTACATTATCTCAACACTATGAAAAGTTTATCGAAACAATGTTGGCCCCCAAATCCTGCGCCATAACTATATACAATATATGTTCGAATTGATGTTAAAGTTAGGCCCATTCTATTTTATATTTATAGGTGAAAATGGATATGAGTTGAGCTGGAGTTTTGAAATAGACGCTCTTCACTCCGGTTAGAGCATAAATCCACCGACGCCTCTTGATTCGTGAATCGTCACGACGTGTCCGTATAAAACAATTAACCGTCTCTGATCAAGAAGATCATATCCTTTTATTGCACATTGACAACAAATGACAAGAATGAAAGAACAAAGTAGCTAACTTGTCATCTCCACTCATAAGAGTCCTTTTGTCCTTGTCCGGTTTTCTCCTTTCGAAACAGATTGGTCTTGACCTTCATTTTGGAGTCGTATGGTTATATCAACCCGCTCGCATAAGGCACGCTCGTCTGAGGCAACCAGTTGTCCCCGAGCAAGAAGCTCGGCACCGTGAAGTTTGCTGCATCCGTGGCGTTGATCACGTGGTACCCAGGCCACGTGACCCGGTTCGTGGTGTTCGATCCGAGCCCAGTATTGTTATACTCGGTGTAATATAGTGCTCAGAGCGAAGTCCTCATCCCAGATTTGCCACCCGGCGGGATTAATTAGACTATCCATGAAGCTTTGCATGTACACTGCCTTGAGTACTGCTTCCAAGGCCTACCCAAATATGTCTGCACAGAGGTATTGTTTGAGGCCAAGTCGTCAGCCGCCCTGATGGTGCAATTGTGAATGAACGTGCTTGTGTTTTGGTTCACGTCCATTCGCCCCTGGGTGGTGATCATGTTGGATTGGCCACTTATTGGGAGGCGAGGGTAGAGGTTACAGTTTTGGAAGACGACGGCTGCGTTGCCAAAGATGAAGTCGATTGTGCCATAAAAATCGCACTCCCGATAAAACTGCCTTAGGGAGTGTGTATAAAGAGTTTATTGGTACGTCTCGAAGCTGCAGCTGTAGAACACCGATAGGTCAGCTCCACTACGGACGACCACAGCTTGGTACTTCTACGGCCCGGCCGTGTTCCGGAAGGTCATGTTTACTGCCACGAAATTTGGTGCTACCACGGCTGCAATAGCAATTATGAATACATGAGATCGATCTCTATCGTTATGATAGAGTTTAGAGATAATTAATCTTAGTCTAACTATATCAAATCCAATTGCGGAGACATGTTAGTTAAGGCGGAAAAAAGTGCTAAAAAAGTCATAAATCTATTGCACTTGTGTCAATTCAGTATTAGATTTTTCAATTATTGACGATTTGCCAATGTAGTCCATTCGACCAGTTTTGGTCAAAAATCGCTAACATGAACGTCATCCGTCCTACGTGGCATGATTGGCTCTAATGCGGACAAATTTTACAAAGTTTTAATATTTTTTGATTTTTTCTTTTCTTTTCTTTTTTATTACAACTCTGGGTTGGCG